TTGCCTTTTTTTTTTTTTTTTTTTTTTTTTTGGGTCACCAAACAGTTACTGTAATGTGTTTAACCTTATTTTATGGACATTGTTTGAGAAAGTAATACTAAATAGTTATTTTATTAAAAATCATACTAAAATGTATTAAGTCGTTATAAAAATATATACTAATAGAGAATTTAATTATTTTAGTTTCGCAGAACTTACTTTTTCATTTATTGCTTTTCTAATTAAATTCCATTGTTTCTGTGTAGTTGAATTTAATAAAACAAAATCCACATATTGAATTCATCAAACCTGTTCAAAATTGCATTTCAAAATCGAGAATGTTCATTGTTTCATAACATTAGCTCAAATTTTAAAATCAAAATGAACAAAATGTATGTTTTAAAAAATAGTGATAATATAAAGAGAAAAAAATATTGTTTAGTTTTTAACGAAAGCATTTATTTTTAAACTATTAACCGGCTCCTGTTATTTATCATATCGGCTAGATTTATGAATTATTGTTCCATTCCAGATCTGCAAGCAATCGTTAAACCATTAATAATTGGTGTTATTAAATGAAACTGTACATTCAAAAGAGTATACTATACGAATTTACTTGATTGCTTTTAGTTTTGAGGGTCTTGGGTGTTAGTAGCACTTTGTAGCTTGGATTGGGAAATGAAGAAATTGATTAACATTGGGCCTAGGGCCTCAGAGATTGGACAAAATTAGTGTCATAAAAAGACAGAAAGCTCTTTGTATTTGTTTGTGCGCGGAGGTAACGTAGGAGAAGGGTAATTGGTTTTACTTGCATACGAAAATCAGAAAAAGCGTGTAGTGACGTTGGTGCAACTGCAAGTAATCAATACTATGCTTTAACATGATAATGGTAGATGAGAAAACGAGCAGGAAAAAAAAAAGGGTCATGGAGCTTTTTCGTTGTTTAATGGTGTTTGTTTGTATAGCAATTATTACTTCCTCATACCCATAAAGGTGGTGTTAAATGAGGGGTATTGATATCGATTAATGACAACTTAAATAAAATTATACGAGAAAATATGTGGATACAATTATATATATATATATATATATATATATATTATGCACACACAACTGAGTGATAGATATAATAAGTTATACAAAACAATTGGCAGCCTATTACATCAATACTACAAAATATAAGCTCCCCTGATGCTTCTCATCCAAAAGATCG